TTGTTGTTGTTGCTATTATTATTGTTATTGTTGTTATTACTATTGTTGTTGTTTATAATTATTCTTTATAATTTGTACAATTAACCTCCCTGTGGTTCAACCCCGGTCTTGTCGGGTTATTTATTACTTCGACACTCCTACACTTAGGAGAAGACATCAATCTTTTAGTCGTGTCAAGTTTTATATCAGTATTTTGCACTTAAAGTATCAATAACTCTTTAAATAAAGCATGTTTTATAATAACAAGTCTGATACTATAAGATACCTTTAATTTATGGTAAATGTTCATCTTAAATGCAAGCCTATCACATAAATCAAAGGATTGATTGATGAGTTCAACTACTGAAATTGAGAAGACAAAAAGAGGGTGAAGTTTAGAAAAGAGATGTTGTTTTAGTCCAAACTAGAACACTGTTTAATCATTGGGTTGTATCTGGAGCTATAGATCTTATATTTTAATTTGGTTTATATGGCTAGAAAGCTAAGACATAGGCTTAAAACATTTATAGGAATGCAAGACTTAATTCTACTGTTTGGAAGTCCAAATCTTAGCAACAACGAAGAAGTACAAATTTGTCCTGTAGTCTAGACACTGTTCAATGTTTAGCCCATATCTCAAGTTTTAGAAGTCCAAATGACCTTAATGTTTTTTGTTGGAAAGCTGAGACAATTTTCTAGAACTTTTACTTCAAGTCTGTTCAAATTTTAATGTTAACAATGACATTTTGTTCAGACAAGAAGATAAGAATTGTCACCAAGTCAAAATATGACCATCCATTTAACAATTAATCAACAAATCAATAGTTTTCAATTTTGGTCTATAAAAGTAGGCATTTTCCATGCATTTAAGCATCTTGGTTTTCATATCAAGATCATGTTCTTGCTCTCTTTCTTTATATTTTTTTGTAATGCTTAAGTTTCGCTTTCATTAATCTCTATTTATGCTTTTCATTTCCTTTTCTTTACTTAGTTAACTTATATCTTATTTATGTTCTTATCTTGTTTATTTATGTTTCTCTTCTTTATTATGTTTAGCTAAGTTTATTATGTCAAGATGAAAAGATTACACTAATGGTGAAAGAATAAGTATGGTGTAAACTCAACATAAACCTTAATGTTTGATACTAACATGTTTTGTATTTATTATCTTGTTCACTTTTAATACTTTGCTTGTTAAATGGTTAATCTAGATTTGTGTTGTATAACACTTGGTAGATTTATGTTGTATAACACTTGGTACAACAAATACTTGGTATTTTCATAGCTCAACCGTATGGCATAACTGACACTTGTGTTATGAAATGAACTTGATTTGTTGTTAATATAAGTTATAATCATGAATACCTGACAATATTTACAGGTATTAGTATTATTCGAATAAGATAACTAATGTAATCATGTTAACAATTTATAATCTGATTGGAACATCCTTTGTGTGTGATTTCCAGTTGAATAATAAAATAAATTTATTCTATACTTGTTTGAAATATTATTAGTGGAAACTGTAATCTTGACAACTGTTTTTATCATTGTTTGATCTTTATATTAATCTTACATCTCAAAGTCCTCTTTAAATCATCATCATCATCATCATCATTATTATTATATAGTTAACCTCCTTGTGGTTCGATCTTGGTCTTGCCAAGTTATTTATTATTTTAACACTCCTATACTTGGGAGAAGACATCAATCGTTTGGTCGTGTTATAAATCTTAAAACTGATTTTATCATAAATCCAAAAAATGCTTATCAACATAATGTTTGCTAGCAATAAATGAAACAACAAAATAACCAAAAAAAAGGCAAACTCTTGGAGATCATGAAACCTAAACACTAAAAGGCTTTATAGCATATGCTATCAGGTATGATGTAACCTAACCAAGTAATGTAGCTGCAACAATCAAAATGATGAAAAGCACGCATTAGTTTTTAAAAACAGAAGGAAAGAGCATAGAGGCAAGGGTTATAGAAAATCATGAAACAGAAACAAAAGCCAACAAACCATTCAAAATAAAACTTAAACATGCTAATTACACTCAAGACAATAAAGATTCCAAAATAAAAAAATTTCCAAAAAAAAGAGGAGGAATTCCAACTTAGAAAAGTCTAGCAAATATATATAGATTAATCCATAGACATTCTTTACAAATAGGGAAAAAAGAATCAACCTCCTTAACTTTATCATATAGAATTCTAAAATCCAATTTTGAGTTTGTGCAATTATATCTAAACCTAAGTTAGGTCAGACCGACCTAAACTAATCTAAGTATTTAAAGCAAAAGTGGTTAAGATCATTGAAACATATGTTTGGCTAAAAGGAACCCAACATAAACCTTACCAAAGCATAAACTCATTAATAAGCTCATGATAGCAAAAAAAAAAAAAAAAAAAAGAATCCAAAATGTTCAAGAACCTATAAACTTTCAATGATTAAACCAACTCTTAGCACATAGTCTAGTTCTAAAAAAAAACTCAGTCAATGGACAAAACTCCTATAATCCAACTTATAAGAACCCAAGCAACAATAAGTGCAAGGCCAAAATGCAAAAGAAAAGGAAAATGTAAAAAACTAACAAAAAATCCAAAAAAGCTCTAAATTTTGGGGCTCATACAGCAAACCCAACCACAACCAAGGACACTTCACATATTTCTCATTTAATAAGTAGACCCGAAAGAACTCAACACAACAAAAAAAGAGCCATCTCTATCAACATAACAAAAAAAACTCAACATAATAAAAAAAGAGCTAACTAACAGTGACTAGGACCCATCAAGTGAACAAGCCCAGTTGAACAAAGAAAAGTAGGCCTGTCAAGAAGACAAGCTCCACGCTCAAGCTCAAGCTTTATCTCCTTCCTAACCTAACGCCCTCTTTGTTGCAAGATTTGATAGTAAATCACTAAGGAGAGACAACTTTCCTCTTGTCCATGCTGACCTGCATTGAGAATCTTGTTTTCTACTTGCTAATTAATAGGTCTCCATAATGACATTTAAAAAAAAACAAAATCCTAGACAAAGAAAAGTAACATCAATATTCAATTTCATGGTTAAAAACCAGGATCATAAGAAAATCAATAATTAATGTGCAACACATCTAACCAAACCTATCATATCTAATGTGATGATGGTAGTTTTACATGCCAACAACCCATAAACATAGTAAAAACCCCAAGATTAACATTAGATTATGCCAAGGCACTAACCAACTATAGCACTACCAGAACTTGAAATGGAAAAATTCTTAAAGCCCTAAAGGTAGGGTTTTTAATAGAGTTTCATCATGCAAAATAATAAATAGAACACAAAAGGTTGCTCATTTTTTTTTCCCAATTTTTTTCTTCTAAACCAATCTTTAATCCCTCATGTATGATCTTTTTGTCAAATGATAGCGTTTCTTTTCACTACATCACAGTATTTTTGAAGGAACAACAACAACCAAACAATCCTTAGAAGCCCACATCCTCTCTCTCTCTTTTTTTTCCTAAGCAAAAGCACCTAACAAAAATTTGCTTATAAATCCACCACCCCCAATACAGCAAGCAACCCATGATTAAAAAAAACATGTGCCAACACCCCAAAAGCAAAAAATACTCAATGTCTAACAACAAACTAAAGGCAAACTCAAAATAGAACACAAAACAATGGTAAAGGCAACAAATACAAGACAATAAAGTGCAAAAATACGTATAAAGAAGCTCACCAACAAAGTGCCCAAACAGCCCTCATAAACTCGTCACTTTTGATAAAGGCAGCAAAGTTAAAGATAACAAATCAAACAACAGGATCTATAACAACTAGAAAAACCAACAAAAATACAAATCAGACAACAGGATCTATAGCAACTAGAAAAACCAATAAAAAAGAATGAGTAATAACCAAAGAAACAAAAGGTTGAAAAAAGACATTAACAGATCTTATAAACACATACGACAAACTGAATTAATGAAAACCAAAGCTAACACAACTTAAAGAGAAACAAACCTGGAAAAACAACAAGGATTAAATGTAATGCAACTGAAAGCATGAAAACCATGGCCAACATAAAATAAAGGATACAAAAGCATGGCAACTCTCAGAACAACTGTACAAAAATAAAAAAAGAAAATCAATCAAATAGTATATAAAGTGACAACATAGCAAACACACATTAATAAAAAAGAGCAAATCAAGCAAGTTAACCATATCAAACAGTAGAGAAAAGGACAAACCTTTCAGAGCTCACTGAGAAAGGACACAAAGGATCCAAAACCCTAAAATAAAAGATCTAAAACCCCCAAATTAAATGTCAAAACCTCAAGAAATCATCTAATCAAATTCAGTAACTAGCAGTTGCTACCCTAAGGACCCTAGCCTAGCGTCCATTACATTAAATGCAAAATCATAATTGTAAGCCACATTTCTTTGAGCCTAGACTCATAACCAACTAAACACCTTTAGAAATTAAACCCGATAATACCTTACCAACCTAAACCAACACATAAAAATTAACCAAAATCAAACCTCACCATAACCAAATCAAAAGCAGCTAAATAAAAAAAAACAAAATGAAAGATAAAAATCTCATTTGACCAACCCCAAACAAAAACGAATGGAAAGAGCCATCAATAGCCCCTCAGATTATAAAAAGATAGCCAAGACCAAACCATCCATAAGCCTTAGATATCAATAGCTATAAAGCCAAATCAACCACGCCCACAACATAGAGGGGCTAGGGTAATAGTGTGAAAGAGTTTTTTTTTCAACATAGTATATTCTTGCCACATCCATTATAATTGAAAAATTAAATTAAAAAATATTATGAATTTTTATAATATTTTAATCCACCACGTATAAAAAAAAAATGGAAAAAACACTACGAGTCAGCATAATTTTTTTTCCACGCCGTTTAGATTATAAGATAATGTCAATTGTAACTCTCTCTCTCTCTCTCTCTCCTTCCATCCTTCTTTTCTTTTCTTTTTTCGTTTTCACCATCTTTCTCTCTTAAAGGAATAAAACAAAATAATAAAACAAGAGAGAAAAACAATAACAACGTAGAAGGAAAAAAAAAACACACAACAATATGAGCAATCGTGGCGGCGGTGGCAGCTTTGTAACGATCCCGAAGAATGTCAAGAAAACAATACAAAGCATAAGAGAAATCACAGGCAAGCAACACAGTGATGAGGATATTTACTCTGTTCTTCAAGACTGTGCTATGGATCTTGATGATACTGCCCAAAAGCTCCTTTATTTAGGTATATTTCTGAGAGCATGCATTAAGGTTTTATTTTAATGCTGCTCTATTTGTTCGTGCATTAGGCTTTACTGGGTTCTATTTGCTTTTGTTTTTTTCTGTGTTTCTGAGTTTTTTGATCTATTTTGGTTGCTCTTGTAAAAGGGCGTGCTTGGTTGAAGATAAAAGAGGGAAAAGAGAGAGGTTTGGGTCTTGTTTATGTGCCATTCTGATTGTTGGACCAGTAAAGCTGTGAACTTGGCACTATTTGTTTTCTTGGTTTAAAGATTGTGCATGGGTGCTAGTGTTGTTTTCATCCATGGACTTTTTGAACAAGCAAATTAGCACTTACTATTATCTGGGCATTGCTGGGTTTAGGGTTTATTTTGGGACTTTGTTGTTGTTGTTTATTTATTTTCTTTAAAATAAAGTGAAGAAAGGGGGGATTTTGACCAAAGCATTTATTTTTGGATTATAGGTTCTGGAATAGGTTTTCTAGGTTGGGTGGAAATACTTATTAGGTTGATGCATATGCGATTAAAGTTCTAGTTTTCCTAAGTCTGACATTAATATTTGATGCTTGAAAAAATATGAAGGAAATAAAACAATTAAAAAGTTGATTTACTAATCCTAATTGATTTTCTTCTGTTTCTTTCCAAGCAACTCAGTTCCTGAGCATGATAAGTGAAAACCCAATATTTGAGTGTTGATTTGTGTTCGTTCTTTTCCTCTTTATAGTAACTCAGTGGAGCTTTATTGAATTTAATTTTCACAATATTTATGCAGCTTTTGATTGCGTGCACAATTTTCTCTAATCTGCACTATTCTTACAAGTTGAGTGGACAATTTTAATGTTCAATCTATTGCATTCTTGCCAAATGAGATTATCGCGACAATCATACCTACTGCATTGTTTCAATTAAATAATAATTGTTGGCTGGCAGATACATTTCATGAAGTCAAGAGTAAACATGATCGTAGAAAAGGGGTAAGATATATTGTTCTTTCAGAAATTACAAGTTCTTTTGTTTTTGTTCCTGGGTTTGTCTTTCTGGTTTTTCTAGCGAGGTCATCTTGTAGTTTAATTCTTGTATCATTGCTGATATTTGCAGGCTCAAGACAGGGGAGCTAGGGGTGGTCGAGGAAGCTATTCTGGTAAGAATTTCTATCCTGATTGAGGAAATTGTCATTTTCTGATGTGACATATTTATGAAACCCAAGTTTAGAAAAACACTTGGGCATGTTTTCTGATTTTCTTTCTGTCCTTCAGTTTTTTTATATTAAAAAAAGTTACACTGAGTTATAGTATTTCAATGAGTTGGAAGTAAGTAAATTGTGATTGTTCATACAGGCACTGTAACATATTATCATTGAGCCAAGATGTATGAAATCCCTTTAATGCTTCATTCTGTCTGAGCTTTATGGCTTCAAATATGAAAATCATACATTGAGATTTTGTAATGTAGAAGTGACCATCTTATCTAGGATCATGGTTTCCATTCTATAAAGTCAAGAGAATGTTGGGTTAGAAATTGAGAGGTTTCCTGCTGTGATTGTAGACTGATATTCGGTACTTGATAAATTGCTTTCTGAACTGCTTGTCAGGTGCTGGTGGTGGGAGGAATGCGGCTACTCGAAGGGAAAATGGAGTCGATTGCATGGCAGACAGAAATGCTTCAACCTCCTCGCGCTCTATGCAGAAAACAAATAATAATGCAGCGATTCCTGGGACAAAGTAACTACTTTAACAGACTTTCATTGCACTATGGCATATGGCTCTCATGTAAAACTGTTTTCCTATTCTAGCTAATTTCTGTTCAACTGCTACAGAGATTTAACTGCCACACCCCGTGGTCCCTCAACTTTATCCAGTGGGAGTTCTATTCTTGGACATAGTCCAAAGCTGCCTGTTGCTGCAGGTAGTTCAGTTCTTGATGTGAAGAAGTTGGATGCCCCTTCCCTACTACCTGCAGCAAGTCCCTCAGCACCTACACAAATTTCTGTCTCTGGAATGCAATCTAAGGAAGGAAAGTCCACATCATTTCCCAATGGCCTCCCAACTTCTACCACTCCAGCATCTGTATCTGGTTCTGTATCTTCTTTTTCAGACCCCATATTAGCCTCATCAATGACTAGAAATCCTGGTGCTACAATCAAACACGAAGTGGGTAACCAGAAGAAAGGTGCTGAACAGAATCATATTCAAGGAAACGAAAAAGTATCACCTATCAAACCAAAGGCAGCTGGAAAGAATCAATTGTCTGAATCTCTGCAGCCTGCAACTTTGTATGCATATGATGATCCTTTGGTTGTCAAGTCTTCTAGTAATGATAATCATTCATCAGAAGAGTTGGCTTTGCCTTTAAAAAGTATTATTATTCCACTTGTTACAATTTTCATTGTTTAATCTTTATCCTTTTACTTTTGGATTCTAAACAAGCTTTTATTTTTAAGCAGCAGTCTTGTCTGAGGATGCTGAAGCTAAAGTCAGTTCTCAGTCACTGCCAGAACCATTCATCTCTAATGGACATGTGAAATTTCCGAATCATTATAAAGTCCCTGAAGCTCTAAAGAGTGGTTTGACATTTGGAAGCTTTGATACAACTTCTGGACCAAGAAAGGAATATAGCAATGGTGATTTGACTTTTGGAAGCTTTGATACTAATTCTGGACCGGGAGCAAAATGCAGCAATGGTATTGATGGTGACATTAACTCTATGCATGCTGTTGAACTCGCACATCTGACTGATGAAACTGCCATGGAACCTTCTAGGTTGGTGAGAATTATACTGTGCTCTCTTAATGATTGCGATGTAAATACATGTCTGAAATAATTGATTGTCTAAAGAAATATTTTTATGTTTGAATCATTTTCTGGGGTAGTAAAATGGGTTTTCAGGGGTGTTCTTGATTATTTTTGTTGGATTGTAAAAATGGAGGCTGTCCAGGGATTGGGTAGGCTAGTCAGGTTATATGGTTGTGCTGCATGTGTGTTCACTGATCCTATTATTTCAGAAGTTTATTTTCCTATAAAAAGCCTTTAATCTTTTATTTGCCTTTTATTATACCTCTGGAATGTTTTGGATCTTTTATATCATATGACATCTGGGAAATATTTGGAAGTTTTCAGTCGTGGTGATATTTTTTTTATTTACATGCAGCAATGATAGTGGAGCAACACCTATGCAAGTTAATCATTCTGATGAACCAGAGTCTCCTATACATGTGCTTGAAAAAGTATCAATATCGGAGGGCAATGTTGAACCTAGTGCAGACTTGAGGGCTGTTCAGCCAAAGCAGGGTGAGATGTTGCTTCCAGAAGACCATCAGAGCTCCACTGTTCAAATTGCACCAAACTATGGTTTTGGGATCATGCCAACTATGCAGGCCGCTCACCTTGTACCATTCGCAGGACATGAGACACAGGCATGGGATGTTTCTCAAACTACAGGCTTTGTTGTAAACTTTTGCTCTTGCTCTGTTTCAATTATTTATCAAACTCTGTTTGTTCTTGCCATTATAACTGTTAGATTAAAATTTCTATTGTCAGTCTAATATTCTCTATCAATATGAGAATATCATGTTGGCTTGCACATAAAAGTTATAGATTATTGAGTCTCTGTCAGAATTGATCTGCAGGCACCAAACCTTGCCATGATCTTGGGTGAACAATGGGTTAGCTTTATGCAATATGCCCTATCATTTTAGGATATTTGTTTTTCCCTTGGAAACAAACTATTAGAGATTGGAGAAGGCTTGTTGTATTTTATTCTGCTTTACACGCTACACATACACCACAACCACATATTTTCTTGGAGGTCTGTGGGTGTGTGTGTGTGTGATAAGACTCGAGGCTTAAGCTTGCTATCACCTTTCTTTATGACAATTTTGCTCTCTTTTAACTTGATGAGAGATGCATATAACAGTATCAACAAAGATATCCATAATCTCTAATAGTTTGTTTCAAAGGGAAAAAGAAATATCCTAAGAGGATAGGGCATAACTTTTCTCTTTCTTTTCTGTAAATAAATTAATTGGTTCTGTTCTTTGTCAAATTGCAGAGTAAGAATTCTATGGCCTCATCTACTCCAAGTCTGAGTCAACAGATGCAGAATTCTGTTGCTGCTTCTCCGCATCCACTTCTTTTCAGGGCTCCATATCCTCCTAACTATCTTCAGTACGGGCACTACTTCAATCCATATTTTTTGCCACCAATGCATCAATTCTTGAGCCACAATGGGCTCCCTCAACAGCCATCGACTGGCAATGCATATCTTACAGCAGCACCTACTGCTGCTGGTGTCAAGTTCCCTCTTCCACAATTTAAGCCGGGAACTAGTGCTGGAAGCCCAGCTCCAATTGCACTCCCCATTTTGTATGGATCATATGGCTCTTCCTCTACAGGCTTCAATCCTAGTCCAGCTGTAACCTCTGGAAGCTCCGCTGGTAATGATGATCTATCAGCATCTCAGCTTAAGGAAAGAAACATCTACACAACAGGACCACTGGTTGGTTTTATGTCTTCTGTTTCATATCTTAAAGTCTTGGATATTTCTTTTTTTTTGTTGTGGCAGTATGAGGAGAAACCTATATGATATTGCTTGCTATCTGCCATAAAGTGAATGATATTTCTTCTTGTTTTCAAGTGCCAAATCAGTGCATTACAGCTATCAATCTTAAGTATCTATTGCATTATTCTCTTCAGAAGCATTTTCCTTTTATCAAACTCTCCTGGTGTACTTTAAATTTCTGATTAATGGTTTTATTTCTTTTGGTCAAGGCAATGCAGAGCGAAATTTCATCTTGGATTCCTCCATCTGGGCAAGATATATCCAGCTTGCAGCTCAGTTCTTTATACCACCTTCACCCTCAGGGACAGCACCTCACCTTCTCTCCACAGGCTGGTCTTGCCGCCTTTCCTGGAATTTATCCACCGGTGCAAGCAGTGGCTGCACCTTCAGCTGTTAATCAACTCACACAACAGTCACAGACCATGCCTGCAACTGTTGAACCTGTGGTACCTCCAACTGGTCCTTACCAGCAGCCTCAACTTACACAGATCAACTGGAACTCTTAACTATTAAGCGTATGAAACCTCTATTAATGGCTATCTTAAAAGCCCGAGACAAGGGAAGCCTCAAGAGTGCTTGGAAGTGTACATATGAATGCGGCTGGAAGGTTTAGGTTAATGTGATGGGTGGGGAGGGGATATAGAATGCTGACTTTATTGCTATCAAAATGATAGGCCTGTCTTTTTCTCTCTCTGCTTGCTTTGTGCTCGTTCCCCCATTTGTTTCTTAGGATCTTTCCTGATCGGGGTGGATTTCTATTGTGTTTTTGAAGCCTTATTAATTCCACGAGATCATACAGGAATTTAAGAGGTTGAGTAGTCGGTGGGATTCGCCAATTTATTTCATTGAGACGTCTCACCTGTACATTAAACTGAGGAAAGGTGAATTATACAACTTTGATTAGTGCACTGGGATTAGCAGTTGGCACTTCATTATTCTTCTATTGACATCCCAATTAGGGGCTGTTGTGGACGCTCTTTTGTTTTTTGCT